AATTGAAGATGAGTTAAATTAAAATTTCCCTCCTCCCTGCTAATGACCAGACCTGAAAATAGCACCTTTGAAACTGCCTTAAGAATCAATAAATTCAAAAGTTCTCCCACTATATTAAACAGTAAAGGAGACAATGAACAACCTTGGCGAAGACCCTTAGCCATTGGAAATTCCTCAGTCGGAACCCCATTTACCAATACTGAAACAGTAGCTGTTGTGATTCATTTCGAAATCCAACCTCCCCATGTATTACCAAAGCCCATTTTCCTCATTACTTTGAACAAAATAGGTCAATCGATTGTATCATAAGCCTTCTTGAAGTCAACTTTGAAAACATAGCCCTTTAATCCATTCTTCCTCCAAAAATCGATCCCTTCATTAGCTATTAAGGAGCAATCCAAAATTTGTCGACCGGGGATAAAAGCGAATTGAGAAGGGCTGATTAAATCTGATATACAACTCCTAAGTCTCCTCGATAGACATTTAGACAAGATCTTGTAAAGCCCACCAACTAAGCTAATAGTTCTAAAATCATCTAGGCCACCAGTGTTAGAGTTCTTTGGAATGAGAGTGATAAAAGTATGGTTTATTCCATATTCCCATTCCTTCCCCAAGTAGAAATTATGAAAGAATCTCATAATATCTTTCTTAAGGACCTGCCAAAACCTTTTGAAATATCCCAGATTTAAACCATCAGGCCCCGGAGCCTTGTTGCTGTCACATGACTTCAAAGTTCCCCAAACTTCCTCCTCAGAAATTCCTTTTCTAATAACCGACTCTACTCCACAGTAATCCTGGAAAAATCCAACCTTATATCATCAGTTTCTAATGTAGAACGCTTATTGTAAATCTTAAAGAAATAATCTTTTACTAAGGCCTTAATAGCTGTCGGGTCCTCAACTGAATCACCAAGAGAAACCAGAGCATTCCTCTTATTCCTGACTGTAGCACACGTCTGAAAATATTTAGTATTGCGATCCCCCTCCTTTATCCACTTCGATCTAGAGTACTGAAACTAAATCTGCTCCTGAATTTTATAAAGATTCCACAATTCTGCTCTGTGAGATTTCAATTCTGCTAAAACTCCACTGTCAATAACACCTTGTTGTTGCTGAATATCAACTTCTAACTGCTGAATTTTCTTCTCTAATTTAGAAATCATGGCTGCTGGATACTGACCTCTCCTCCCAGCCCACTTTTTAATTGCATATTTTGTACTTCTTAGTAAACTGAACACCCCAACCTTTTTATGAGTTTCCTTGCAGTTTTGAATTGATGATTTAACCAGATCCTCAAAACCCTCCTCCTCCATCAAATAGTTGAATAGTCTGAACGGTTTTTGACCCCACTCAACACCTTTATTCACAAGAACTATTACATTATGATCCGACAGAGACCTAGGTAGTAGTGACTGAACAATATTTGGAAACGAAACCAAGAACTGACTATCGACCAAAAATCGATCCAATCTTACAAAAGTGGGATTATCTTGGTTATTGCACCAAGTGAACCTACCCCCATTCATAGGAAGATCAATTAGACCAGTTTGAAGGATAAACTGACTAAATATCTCCATAGAACTTCTATTTTGACCTCTGCCCACCTTCTCTTCTTCTTGTAAATAAACGTTAAAATCCCCTCCCACACACAGAGGATAATTCTGGCCCCTAAGGAACATGCTCAATTCTTCAAAGAAACTAGGTTTATCTTCTGAAAAAAGACCAATGGATTTTCTCTGATTTGGTTTCTTGCAGCCAAAGAAAAGTGGGATATATACTAGAAACTAAATTCTGAACAACCCTCTTTTTTTCTTTTTTCCCTAAACCCTAACATTCCATGAACAAAATACTAACTTTGACTTCATCATAAAAGAGAAAAATGCAAACTGAAAACCTCTACCAGCATCACCTTAATTAACCCCATTCAAACTTTTCTCTAAAGCCATGATTTTCTCCAGAAATGCTTCTTTCCCTTCCTTAAAAGACACCCCCAGAAGCTCACTCACCTGTCAAGTAGCCAGAGCTTCTTCCATTAAAATCGAGAAGTCTGAAGAGGAGGTTGTATCAATGCTAACTTGTTCAAGGGCATCCCGTAACAAATTCCTTTTTGTCCTTCTAATTAACAAGCCAGATTTGAATCTTAAACAGTCTCCTTCTGAAAAATAGCCATCAAACTCCCTCTCCTCACTCCCATCCACTGTGCGCTGTCAAAATTAGAAACTTTGCTCCCATTTGCAATCAAAACTGGTGGTAAACAAAGATGTTTATTAGCACTAAAAATCGCATCAATCTTTCCCTGACTAACTCTGACCCCATCAGCTACAGGCGTTAACTTCAGCAAAATGCAAACTGAAAACCTCTACCAGCATCACCTTAATTAACCCCATTCAAACTTTTCTCTAAAGCCATGATTTTCTCCAGAAATGCTTCTTTCCCTTCCTTAAAAGACACCCCCAGAAGCTCACTCACCTGTCAAGTAGCCAGAGCTTCTTCCATTAAAATCGAGAAGTCTGAAGAGGAGGTTGTATCAATGCTAACTTGTTCAAGGGCATCCCGTAACAAATTCCTTTTTGTCCTTCTAATTAACAAGCCAGATTTGAATCTTAAACAGTCTCCTTCTGAAAAATAGCCATCAAACTCCCTCTCCTCACTCCCATCCACTGTGCGCTGTCAAAATTAGAAACTTTGCTCCCATTTGCAATCAAAACTGGTGGTAAACAAAGATGTTTATTAGCACTAAAAATCGCATCAATCTTTCCCTGACTAACTCTGACCCCATCAGCTACAGGCGTTAACTTCAGCAAATCCCCATGCCAATATCTCCTTTCCTTCGACCTTCTGTAGACCCTTTTACACCTGCCCATGCTTCTAGTTTCTAACACATCACTCTTCGATTTAATCTGACTGCTGGATCGGTGTAGCTGTCTCCCCCTTGAATTATTCCCTGAATCAGAGTTAACTAATTCAACCGGCAATAATTTTTCTTTTTCTACTTCTATCTCAGAATTAACCAACTGCACTTCCATTGGGCTCTTTTCCAAAACATCATTCTTTTTTCTGCCTTTCTCTTTTAAATCTGGATTATGAACCATTTCCCCAAACTTATTTATTTTAAATGCTGGCCCAGAAGGAAAAACCATAATTCCTTTGGACCCAGACTGGCCAGAATCCTCAGATTGGGCTTGAGATCCACCAGCCGAAAAATTTGAATTTCTAATCCCCAAACCTGCAAACTCTCCTACTTTTATACTCCCCACATGTTGACTTTCTGGCATCCCACAATTAATGTCTTTCTTCTCTAAGGAAAGTCTAGATAGCTGTATATCATCACCAACTCCTCCAGAACCAGAAAAAACTCCCTGATCAATCCAATTGTCCACTGTCAGACGATATTTCCCTGCTGCACCTACCCCACTATCTGACCACATTCTGTCATCCTCTTCCTCAGACATCGTTTCAAAAAAACCCCCACCAAAACCTTTCACCGGAAAATTGTTGAAGAAAGAACTTGAGTATTCGTTTGTCGATCCGACCTTGATACTAACTTTGAAAGATCTTCCATAAGATCCAAGAGTGATCACATCTGGAACATCAAAGGGGCTAGCCCTCAATAAAATTCTTGCCAATGTGAGGTCTTCTCTTTTCCTTGTAGCATCATGTATATCAACCACATTACCCCATCTACCAGCTGTCTTCTCGAAGAAAGATTCATTCCAGCATAACAGAGGAACCCCTAATAATTCCACCAGACAGAAAGCCATTGGAACTCCCTTATCATTCATTAATGGTTCCACTCGATCAAACCATTGTAGAAAAGCCTCTTCCCTGTTCTCCCAAATGTCCAGCATCTCCTCGTGAGTTTTAAAAATTATAGCGCAAGAGTTCCAAACATAACCCCATCTAACAATTTGGACATCATATCCATCCTTAACTAATGCATTCTGAATATACTCAACCTGAAAAGAGTGTCTGATAATCCCCGTTAAGGACCTCTTTGCCCAACTTGAACTTTCTGATGGAATGTGCATTTCCAAAATATTTTTCTTGACACTCCTCCTATGGTGATCATCGGAAGGCATGTCTTTTTTTCCCATTGCATCTCTATGTGACATCAAAGCATCTCTATAAGTTCTATCGTCCCTTATGCTTCTGTTGGAGTTTCCTGCTTTTTTTAACGTTGAGGACTCTGCATTATTCTGACTATAAAACTTGTTTGAATAAATATGATTCTCCCCTAACCTTGGACGCCCATCCTTGAATCTAGCCGGACTAACAGTGATCTTCCTTCCGTCTGTCACAACACCATTCAAATCATCCACAGCCCTCTTCAGACCAACCTCACTCTTAAAATGAACAAAAGCAAAGGTGGAAAATTTGTATTTTGGATTTTTAGTTTCTTTGGGAATAAAGACTCTCATAATAGGACCATGAACTAAGAATAAATCCCTTAAAGTACGTCGAGAAACCCTCCTACTGAGATTGTCGACAAAAGCCGACCAACTCTCATCGGAAACTGGCTTTCCTTTCAAATTCTCTCTCTGCGTTTTTCTCTCTCACTTGATTTTATGTTCTGTAATATTTAAGGTTCTGTTTAGTATGTCTTCTGGTTGTATCTTATGTACTTTGTCTATGAATAATAAAATCCTAAGGCACTCTTTTCCTCCTTCCGCTGATTAAGGAGCTTTTCTAAAAGCTCCATTAATCAAGAAGGGGGGTTTTAATGAGGCCTGAAATTCTTATAAAAAAAAGATACATGCTAGAAAGATAAACAAAGGAGGCACTGCAACATGCTTGTCCATTTGGTCCAAAAAAACACAACAACAAGATTGACTTGTTTTCATATTGTTCCAATATAGTCTGACTTGGTATCACATATATGCTAAATGACCAACAAGGTAGACTCGTAACTCTAGAAGCATGCATTTCCGTTGGCTGCAATTGAACTTGGGAAATCTACTAGGCCAAATCACACAAATACGTATAATAAATTAGAATACTCACTGGAATACATGTTGGGAACAGCTTTCATCATCACCCGTCAAAATCAATTGCCTGAGATCATAAACATGCTTTCTTTGAACCTGATAAAAGCAGATTAAATAACTTAAATGAGATAATTTGATGGTTAATCTTCCGAGTAAATTGAACATTCAAGGATTCATTTTCAGATAAAAAGATAATCTTTCTTAGTTAAAAAAAAAGAATTCAAATGAAAAATCAGCCACCAATAAGCCTAGTAAACAAAAAGGCACAAGGTAATGAAAAGTAATGAACTATATATTGCAGTAACTTCAAGCTGAAGTATTTTATAAATAAGCCTTCTCCAATAACAATCAGACCATAACCTACAAGATAGTCTTTTAAGAACTTCAAAAATAAATAAATGTGTAGTCAAACGCCTATCAAGTGCAAGATCATGTCGATTAGTTCATCAAGATGTCCAAATATGGTCTGTAGTTTCCAAGCACATACCTCCAAAACTTCATCAAACTCAACCAGGCTCTTTCTTATGTTAAAGAAATACTTCTCTGCATTGACTTGAAGCCCCAAAAGCTACAAATATAAAGTCATTGGAATCACTAATATGAAGATGATGCTACCAAGTTCTAAGCCTCTGAAAAATAGAGGAGGTTTCTAGCTTACACATAGATGAGGCCAATGCATACCTGCTTTACAATTGCATCACCTTCAATAGGTATATCTTCATCATTTGTAATTTTTGAAATGAGCTTTACAGCCCACTCAGTATCAAAATTGAACTTTTGAAACATCTCATCTTGCAAGCTGTAACATCAATAAATAGAGAGGAGGCATTCTAAAAAATATCAATTATACCCATTAAAGACAAGGATTCACTTTATGGAAAGATAAGAAGGGTGCATAATCATCAAATTCTCATCCCATGCGCACTTTACTTTGTTTTGATATGACATATTTTCATAAATAGGTGAAATTATTGGTCAAAGGTCACCAAAAGAGCTAATTACATTGATGTCAAACTGTTTCGGACCTTCGGTCTTCTCTTGGCCACTTTTGCTAGTGATAATTTAAAGAAAAAAAGATAGGTGAATTTAATAAAATTGCTTCAGAAAGTTGCAATGTCTATACCAAGGGTATATGCATCAGAACATCCAATCAAATGAAAGCATCTAGTCTAACTCTGAATAACCCAAAATGTTGGTTTGCCCGAACCTATTAGCCCTCACCAATTTTACTAAACTACGGTTGATGGATCTCTACTATTTCTGTTTAATTGAAGCTAACCAAATCTCCCAAGGGGTTGTTGCTTGCTGGAGGACCAAACCAAAGGGAGCAATAATTACGAAACTCTAATTAGATCATACATGCCTTCAAATTTCAACTGATAATACCGAAGTTGCGCCTCTCCTAGCATGTGAATGGCTACCAAGCATACCTTGTCTGCCATAAAGGTATCTTGGTTTTCGAAGAACCATTCATGTTGATGCATCCAATCAAGGGATCTTTCTATCCATCATAAGTAGGAAAATCCAGCTTTGTAACCCAGGACATTTCCTCTAACTAGCGAAATCACTCTACCCAATGATGGTGACACTGTGCCTCCCCCAATGGTTGGTGGTGTGAGTGCTCAGTCTACTTGTGTTACCGAATTGTTTGCGTCTCCATCCCAATCATGAATTTGTTCAAATCAAAATATAGAGTTCCAACTTGTTCTTGAATTTTTTACTCATTTGTTAAAAGTCTATACAGTTCAGCAGACAAGCAAATTTTGCCTCCATTAAGGATTCTATTAAACCTCGGACTTCATCAACCACTGTAATTGGCTTTGGTGCAAAGTTGTTATGAAGAAGTAAACAGGATCGAATCACTAGGCAATTGACAGGAATGTCGAAAGTGATTGTTTTCTCTTTATCATGATTCCTAGAGCGACCTATGGCAATTGATAGTTTAGCTTATCAAAGGGAGACAAACCTTTCAACTAGTCAAAGGAAGACCGAAACCTCAAGACTCGTGAGAGATACCTAATTCTTTTTAGGGTTTTATTATCTCATACATCCATATAAATAAGGACCAGTCTAAACACATAAAAAAGACAACCTAATCTTGAAGGGAAAGTAAATAAACTGAAATAAAATCACAATCAAACTAAGGAAAGAAATAAAACTGCAACCTAAGCTTTAATAAGAGAATCAAAATTAATTAATGGCTTTTCATAAATAGGTTTGACGCATAACATACTATTTATGTATCTCATATAACGTGATTACCTCATTTTCAAATACATGTTACATAGTGTTCCCCTTCATTGATTATTACATACCTCGATATCAATCCTTCAGCCTCTATTTCCATTAGGCACAAGAACATTTCCCATAAAAGTTTTCTTGATATGTGAATTTGACTGCATGAACTAGATTGCACCACTCACATTTTGCGACCATATTGTGAATAAGATCAGTGAAAATAAGGTCCTTTACAATAGCCTCCATTATCCAATGATGTCTTTTTTTTTTTGCATCCACACTCCATTTGGCACAAACATCTTTCACTATGTTGCAACTGATACAGAAGCATTTGTGGCTCTTTAATAGACTAGCACAAATCACCTTTAGTGCATTTCTCACGTTTTACTCTCAATTAAAGTGATGCAAATTCAACGTTATTTGAGCGCACTACATTATAATCTTATCTTTCACCTATCTCACTTTACCATGGGCACCAACAAAAATTAAAATAAATAAATCTCTTCAACTCTTAACAATTGGTAATCCACAATGCTATGTCATCAAAAGAAGATTTTTATATTAAACAACATTTATTACCTGAAAGAGTTAGCTAATATGTGCGTGATAGATCCCTTGAGAGCAGGGATTTCACCTTTAAGCACAGTTACCCAAGCCCCAAGGAAAGCCATAAAATATTGGGTCAAGGCTATGTGGAGAACTACAGTATCCCATAACATGATAAAAGAGATTGAACTGGTATTAACCCTTAGTTAAAGATCTAGACCAATACCTATTGAAAAAATCTCAACACTGAGATCATTTTCTCCAAATTTATTACCAGTTTGTCTTGTATCTAAAGGGAAGTGGATTGGATGGTCTGATAATGACATGGTGTACAAGAAAATTCATTTAACCCATCCCTAGGAACCGAGCAACACTAGCGAAGTTAACTGTCAAAAAAAATGCTACAAGTCATTTTAGTCTTAAAATGCAAATAAATAATTAATAGAACACTACCTCACCATAAACCGTGTGGATCCAGGATCCCCTTGCCTTCCTGCTCTACCACGAAGCTGTGAAAGACCATTGTCATTGTTATGTAAAAATTAGAACCATGTTTAAACTGCAATAAATAGAAAAGAAATAAAAAAGATGCATTATCAATTCACTCTCTAATCACCCCCAAAACAAAAAGAACATAAGCTCTACATGAACAAGGTTAACATTATTGCTTTTCAAGTAATACTCTATCACAAAGTACTAGCCGTTAGCAATGCAAGCCTTCAAGAGTAACATGACGTGATCCTCAAAGGAGGGAAAACAGTATACTCATCAACTAATCAGACCATGATCATCACTTGGAAAAATTTAGTTAACAGCATAATGCACCACAAAGCTATCCAAATTCAGACAATTTGTCAATTGAGAATGATTATTTAGGGAATTTGGGCCTAATGGAATTTCATAAAATAAAATTTTAGACTCTAACACTTAGGTGCACATTTATGCATGCATAAGGGCGGTGTATATCTTATAATTATATGTTACATTTGTGGACGGGAAAAAAATCATTCAACTGAAACTTACAGCTTTTCCACGCATTTTCTTATGCAGTTACATCTAGATTTCTATCTTCCTAGAGAAATGTAATTGTTTGGCACAGAACGTGTAAAATCAAACTATCACCAACTTGATGAATGGAAGGTAGAATCTCATCGAAAGTGTGTTTTGAAATTAGATGATGTACTGGCTCTGCATAGAGAAGGTTTTACTCCCACCATAAATGCTTGCATAATATTGACCAATAGAACAATGAGTTGAGTGATTCAGAAAAAAGGAAACAAATAAAATCATAATGGATTGGCTGTGACACAAGCGTTGTATTCAATCTAGCAAAGCATCTAACTATAAATACTTTTATCTAGATTAACCATACAAAATGTTGTAAAGGGTGCTAGGTGCACTCAAAGAACGAAGTCCTCACTATAGCTTGAGGCGCAAGGTGAAAAAAAGACGATCGTCCGAGTAAAATAAGGCGCACACATATAAATATGTTTATAAGAATATAAAGTATATATGAAAAATTGTATAATACATGATAATTAAGATAAATTTTAATATACTTCATTTTATAAATTTAAATCAAGTCATTATTCAAGTTTAATAATTAACGAAAATTATGATAGAGAAAATAAAAAATAGAGAAGGGAAAAAGGAAATAAAAGAAGAATTTATTCTAGAATAGATAGAGAATAATAACGAAAAAGAAATATGTTTACCTTAAAGCTTGAGGGGACATTGAAATGTTGAGTTTTGATGATTTTAAAAAGTTTCAATGAAATAATAAACAACTAGTAGATTTATAATTAATAAAATAAAAATATGGTATTTTTTAGTTTTAAAATTTATAAAAGAAAGGGAAATGAAAAGTTAAAAGTTCCTTCAAAAAGTTATGGTATTTATAAGTGTGTTTTAAGTTAAAAAATAGGCTTTAGTGGGGGCATTCAAGTATTAAAAGAAATGGTAAAAAAAAAGCCCAAAAGTTGGCAAGACACCACTGATTCAATTAGTGCGAGTATTCAAGTAAGAAAGAAAACAAGCATAAAAGTTGACAAGAAAGACACCACTGATTCAATTTTATTTTAAGAAAAACAAATAAAACAGATATAGGAGACTTAAAAGTTAAAAGTCGGTGTTTAAACCCCCCCTCCTCCCCCCCCAAAAAAAAAATAGAAACCTTTTAACGGTTGACTTCAATTCACTGCTTCAGTCAACCTAATCAAATTAGCCCCACCTGAGAATGTTAGAGGCGCAAACTTCATTTTTCGCTGTGCCTTAACAACATTAATCATACACAGTTGCATACAAAAAGCCTTAACATACATGATGCAAATTTATGGAACACCGATTTGGTGGTCCGTTAATCATAAGGGGGGGTTTTAACGAGGCCTCACATTCCTATAAAAAAAATACATGATGCAAATGACCAAAGGAAACAACAATATTGATCCTTAGGAAATCAAACTTTTAAATTAGATACTTTTCACTTTATGTGGAAGTTTACGTCCTCAGCTTCCAATAGCAATAATTGTTGCAATTACTAAATCCAAGACAGATAATTCAGAAATGCTAAGGTATGGTTTAGATGTGCATAAATGCACAAGTCATTACTGCATTTAATTACTAACCTGGTTATCTATTCTACGGGATTCATGCAAAGATGTACCAATCACATGAAGCCCCCCGAGCCTTTTCACTTCAGACCCTTCTTTGGTGCAGTGTACTTCACAATCTTTAAGAACAGACAAATAAGTAATGGCTATAGAAGGGCCAAGAGGGTACATCTCAGACTGCTCATCAATAAGCTTCTGCAGCTCTTTCAAAGACATTGACTGGCTCATTTCAACTGATTCTGAAATGATAGATTTTGCCTCCTCGTATGTCCAGCTCTTTCCTTCGCTTTTCCCAACAAATTTTGCTGTTTGATTCACATGGAAAGGAAGAGCGGTATGATAATAATTAAATATATATGCTAATATCACTAAAAAGAAGATATATAACACGGAAAAACAAGCTAGACACAAACCCATTAAAGCAGCCTTAGCCAGCAAAGCCATTGACGATGGGCCAACCTTTACCTTCGAAAACACCTACACCAGAAATTGCTGAGAACCAAAATTTTATTTCTTACCAACTACTAGTGACGAGAAAGAATTACCTTTCTTGAAACTGCCATGTCACTGACTTCAACAGTAGGAGCTTCTCCTGAAAGAAACACAAGCAAGCTGTCCTCTATAATCTCTCTTGCTAGCATCTTGATATGGCACAAGTAGTGTAATGTCAATTGTATATATTTTTGGGATAAAAGAAAAGAACTTAAAAGGTTGTATGTTAAAAAGTTAAAGAGAATGCAACAAGAACGCTTACTTTGGGATTTCCCCCAAGAATAATGTCAGTTCCTCTGCCAGCCATATTGGTAGAAATGGTTATAGCATATTTTCTCCCTGCTTGAGCAATAATTTCAGCTTCCCTTGCTGCATACTGATGGAACAGAAGGAAAAAAGAAAAATGCTGATTGAAGAAGCTTGCATAAAAATAACAGGTAAAATGATTGATGGCAAGGAATATTTCTATCCAGCTGCAATGTATTATCAAACTAAAATATTAACAAACCTTGGGTCGAGCATTTAGGACACTGTGAGGTATATTTCTATCCTTTAGCAAATCTGACAGATATTCAGAATTCTCAACACTGCAACAAGAAGGTGATAGATCATATCTTGGATGTTCTTGTTTTGGAACACTCTCAACAGATGAAATTTGACCAATTGTATTAACTTTCTATACAATAGCAAGAATAAAGAGTAAATGAAGAGAAGGATATATCATACTGACAGCTGCTAGAGAATTTACCTAGTGGTCCCAACTAAAACTGGTCGCCCTTGTCTAAACATGTACTCCACTTCTTGACTAACATATTCCCATTTCCCATGAGCAGTCTTAGAAGAACGGACAAACCAAAACAACAATATTAAAAATAAAAGCACTTAACTAATATTAAAAATATACACATTATTAAGGAAACATTCAAGTATTAAATGTCCTACAGCAAATGCCTGTGTGGGTAAATCTTTACGAATGTTTGGAAGATTAGTGGGCACTTCAATAACAGGCATCTGAAACATTTTCAAGAATTCCCTCTCCTACAAACAAGATTGCAATTTTTATTTTAGTTGCAATTAAAATTAGAAAGGACCAAATATAGTGAATAGAATCCACTTATCACCCATACTTCGGTTTTTGCAGTCCCAGTCATTCCAGACAGCTTCGGATAGAGCTTAAATAGAGACTGGTAGGTGATTTGAGCCACCACAACTGAATCAGCCTAACAAATATAGAAAATTTACAATTTTGAATGAGAAAATATAGGATTTATATTTGATATAGGTCAAGATGAAGTTACGAACTTTTCAGGCATCATATCTACCTGAATCTTCAAACCTTCTTTTGCTTCAACAGCCTGGTGAATCCCTTCAGACCATCTCCTTTTCTCTTCCACTCTGCCTGTCAGCTGCAGATTTTCATAAATGTTCCATTACCATCTCAAAGAAAAAGACATACATTTAAACTAAAAACACCAAAAGCAACAAACTTTTTTTTTCCAAGCTTGACTTAACATTAAAAATATGACCAGGTTCTACCTCTAGCAAGGGTTGAAATCAAATTTTTTTTTTTTGGGCAATAAAATCAAATGTATTTTCAATGTAAGAAATACAGTTTGCTCATAGTAATGTTTGTGATGGTAACATAGACACAATCGTCATGCTGGGGCTGAAATACATGAAATGATTTGTCTTTAGTGGCTAGCTAGACAGTTTGCAGGAACCAGTAACTACATCAAAACATGATCTAAGGTAAGTGGTACTGCAACAAAGACGTTGAAACATAAAAAATTACTATATAAAGACCTCGTTGATAATGAGAGCTTTCCCATTTCTGACAATGTATTGGACATCCCGCCGATAAAATTCTTTAGCTTTCACAGCATTCATCACAAATCTGCAACAACGTTAATTTTAACCATCAAAAGAAAAGGAATATGGCATGTGAAATATGTGTGCAATGGATCACATTCAACCGCTAGAGAACAAATTAGCCGGGTAATTGGTTACAATTTAAGTCCAGAAAAGTTCTAATATACAATGAAAGAAAGAAAGAAATCAGTTTGAAATTGGTCAAACATTTTCTTCTGGCCTTTTAAGTTTTAAAAGAATCACATGTTACTGAAGATTTGAAACAAAAGTTCTAGAATTTAATGAGACCTCCTATTCCTATCAAAAAAACAAAAGTTCTAGAAGTTGATGTAAAAGAAACAGATCTTCACTACAAAATGTGTTGATAAAATGCTTATTGCGAGAATGAGTACAAATTTTACCTTGCCCAGGGATCATTTTCATCCCATAGATCATTTGTTTCCAAAGCCAACTCAGCTAGTGCAATTCCTTCCTCGGTCAACTCTACTGAATTATCTTTAAGCTCAATGTTATAATGCTGTTATCAGATTTACATGGAGACTACTTTAGTTGTAAACACTATGCAAAATAACTATACAAGATTACCACGGCAACTGGATAGCAACAAAATATTAATCATAGATTTTATTTAGTATAACCACCAGTTTCCGGTCCATTGACCGACTAATTCAAATCAAGTACTACATAGGTCCATTATGTGGGCAAATCCTCCCAACCCAGTTTACTCTCACAACTTTAGGATTTTTTTTTTTGATAAGAAAAAGAGCCTCATTAAAAAACCCCTTCATAACCGTCACGCTACGAAAGTAACTTAATAGACATTGGAAGAAGGAAAAGAGTGCCCCATATTTTATTACTATTGAAAAATACACCAAGGTTAAAACCCCAAATGGGACCATGGGTACAGCCAATACCCACTAAACTAAGCTTATCCCTTAATTTAAACACACCAACTACCCACCATACAAAATACAACCCAAATTACCAGCCTTTGCTAAACTATCAGCTTCCCAATTAAAACATCTCTGTATATGCTTAATAATCACATTATGATCCAACACACAATCAGCAATTTCCTTGACCATAAGACCAAAAGAAGCTGGAGTTGATATAGTTTAATCAACGATGAAGCCAACCAAACACCAGACCCCTCATTAGCAGCTCAGACACTTTAGCAACAGGATTCGAACCCTGGATATTGAGGAACCTAACATCTCATCTCGCTAGACCAACTGGTAGTCGGTATGGTTTAATCAAAGATGAAGTCAACCAACTGAACTCACCAGACCCCTCATTAGCAACTCAGCCACTTTAGCAGCGACAGGATATCTTGCATCATCTTTACTAGCCTGAAACAGAACAGACAAGAGGCAACAAGCTATTACAAACTATTTCTATAGCTTTGACATGTCCTCTGAACAGTTCAAAAAAATTTCAAAGGCAATCAGTTAAACAGTTTTAAGATAGGTAGCAATAAAAATTTGTGATTCAAAATATCTGGTATTATTCATGGAACCAAAAAATAGTTAATAACAGAACAAAGACTAATTTATATTACCTCACCACTTATTAATAAAGGATTTCTCCCTTCATCAATGAGAACAGAATCAACTTCATCAACAATTGCAAAATGAAATGGTTTTGGCCTGTTTTTGCAAGTCTATCACTAGTAGTCCAAAAATATATCTCAAAATTCAAATTGAAATAGCAGTCTGGGACATACCATCTCATCACAAGTTGATCACTGTTTCCAGCAAGATTATCTCGGAGATAATCAAAACCTAGTTCCTAAAAAAATGTTCAGAAACAATGTTATGAGAAACTCGGTATGGCTGGATTGAGGGCAAGAAAAGGCGTTAGCAGTAGTCAACATTCAATTGCACCAATCAAATTAGGAAATTTACCGAATTGTTGGTGTATGTTATATCACATCGGTAGTTGCTTCTCCTCTCTTCAGCTGTCATTCCCTTCTATATACAACCAAAAATGGCAAAAAATACTACAATTAAGAATATATAAGCATGTAAATGGCTATTGAGATCTGCTTCTGATGCATGAATAAAATAAATGTCTGGTGGTTGACTCTCTGAAAGACTGACACAAGTTTTACATTATTCTGCCACTTATTATACAAATACCTGAATAAGCCCGACTGAAAGACCTAAGAATCTATGAACACGACCCATCCACTCGGCATCACGTTGAGCAAGATAATCATTCACAGTTACCACTGTTAACAGAAAAATCAGCATTGTCAAATTCACACATCACCATTTGGTCAATGTGAGCCTGTATAAGATTAACAAGTTGTGACCAGATTGGCCTGCAATAAAAGGGAATTAAAAGACTGCTTAAATCTAGTTAAAGGTAACCTAGATGAACAAGTTGTCCCTTTTGCTGAATATTTTATTAGATCCTTATATAACCCAGGAACCTCATATTCGACCTTTTATAGTATCAACAAAAACAATAAAGAACATCTTTAGATTAATTTCTTTCCCAAAAAATTGGAAGAAATAAAAGCTTACCATGGACACCATCACCAGATAGTGCATTAAGATATGCGGCTAATGTGGAAACCAATGTTTTTCCCTCCCCTGTTCTCATCTCAGCAATGGACCCATCATGAAGCACAGCTCCACCTATAATCTACCATTGAAAGACCTTTAGAATAATACTGGACTTCAAAATGAATAAAAACATACTTATATACTGTGATGTCATCAAAGATACATGATCAAACCGTCAAACATGCATTTTATCTTTAATCCATATAAATAAAAAGGTCAATACCTGAACATCAAAATGGCGCATGCCAAGTTTCCTTTTTGCAGCTTCACGAACCACAGCAAATGCCTCTGGAAAAAAAAAGGAAACAACCAAAAGAAGATAATTTTCATATAAAATTCATAAATCAACCCTCTTGGACATAAGATTGATAAACACTAACCAGCTTGAATATCGGAAACAGACTCTCCTTGGTTCAACCGTTTCTTAAATTCGGAAGTTTTAGCAGTCAACTACAACAAACAAGTTCAGTCCATCATTCCGATGACACGAACAAAGCAAAGGCAAATAATCGATTCTAAACAACCAAACCAACCTGCTCATCAGATAGCCTCTGAATTTCTAGCTCAAGCCCATTAACAGAGTCCACTAGACGATAATAATCCCGAACAACCCACCAGTTTAAGCTAGTACAATCAGTCCAAGTCTTCTTGAAGCGACCCACGTTCTCCTGAAACAGAAACGAAAACAAAAAAGGGGGCACCAAAAGTGAACAGAAGCAACTCAAAAGAAACATATGATCAAACAGTCGGTCATCATTTGGGAATAGTGAAAATGGAGCAAAACAAGACCTTGAGAGATGCAGCTATAGGCGTTTGCCCATTAGAACGATGTCGTCGGAGGATGAGAAAAGAAGGGAAAGATGAAGGGAAGAAGAAAGGAGAAGTGGGTTTCGCAGAGGGGAAGGTTTTATGTGGGGTGAGGAAAGGAGCGTTGAGAAGAGATGGAGCGGTGGCCATTTCGGTTTAGCTTTGCCGTTGGCTTTTCCTATGAATTATGATAACAATTGTCTTTCCTTAGAGTCTCGATGAGGGCCGACTGCGTTCGTATTTATTTGCTGGGGATTTAGGAAATAGCTCACAGCAGCAATTGAACCCTTAAAATTTCAATTTCACCTCATCGAAGCCCTGACGTGGTACATGAAATGGTCGCATGTAAAGAAAATTAAGGATAAATTATACGATTGATCGCATATCACTAAATTATTCTTTTATTTAACCATTAATATCATAAAAAGTGTCATTTTAATCATCAATATTAACGAAATTGATTTAAACTGTTTCATTTCTAAGTTATATGATGATGAAGCTAATTTACTCATATATCTCATTTTTTAATATTATTTATAAAAATAAAACTATTCTAATATTATTTATGAAAATGTTACAATTTAATTTTTTTATAGATAAGTCAAATTAATTGTGTCTTTAAAAAATACGTCTAACAAAGTGTGTCCTTGTCCCATATGATACTTAAAAAGGTTAGAAGAAAGCCTAGAAGGATCGGATTAAAAAAATTAATATATATATATATATATATACACGAATAAAACGGCAAAACTGCCGAGATAATGCATGTGGGAATGTTTAATTCCCAAAACAATGAACTCAGGCTATTATTTCCCCAAATGGGGTGTTTGCTACAGATAACATACAAAGGTTGGGATCTCTCGGCGTCATCAGGGAAAGGATTTAGGGTTTCTCGACGTCTTCAGCTTACATTGGTTCAAAGGATCTCTCGGCATATCTCGACGTCTTCTATGTTCGTTCAAAGGATGTCTCGACGTCTTCAACAAAAAAAATTCCATGCATTAAAAGATCTCTCGACGTCTTCATTGAAAAAATTTCCAATCAAACTTGAAATGCTCGGCGTCTTCTATGCAAATATATGGAGTTCATACGTGGAAAGCAACGTTGCACGCATGCATGCGTTGGGTAGGGACTCACTCCTCTTCTTATTCTTTTATGCATGCGTTGGGTAGGTACTCACTCCTCTTCTTATTCTTTTAATTATCAGAGTTTCTTTACTGGGTGCTTTTCCTTAATTGTATCTTTTCACAAAACAGAACTCACGTGAAAAATAAGTAATCGAAGTGATCATTCGGTTGTTGGAATGGATTTCTCAATCTCATTAATTAAGTTTTGACTTTCTTGAGCGTCTATGGACCACACTACCTGATTAAATGAAACAACTATTAGAAAATATCAACAGTGTGGCCTCACTGCCCAATCCTTGTACAAAAGACGTTATAGTACTTTAAATAAGATTAAAAATTTAAATTTGTACAGTGAATCAAGTAAAGTACATTATGAAAATCATCTATATGATAAAACTTTATAATACAAGCAAATAGACATATTTTTAACAATAATATATTAATAATTTTATATATACTTAATTAGACTCATACCTGATTTAACCCAAATTGGCCCGATCCCTAAACCCTAAACCATATATAAACAAAATTAAATCGAATGTAATCTAGACACAAACTAAATTGATATGAAATGTTCCAACTTAAATCTAATACGAATCATCCGTTTGTTGCCCCTACTTCTACTTAAACCTAAAAGCATTTTATAACATATACTCTTAATAAATAAAGAAAATAATTATACGTAGAAGTAGGGGTGACAAACGGATCATTCGAATTAGATTTAAGTTGGATCATTTCAGATCAATTTAGTTTGTGTCTAGATTACATTCGATTTAATTTTGTTCATATAAGGTTTATGATTTAGGATTTAAGGTTTAACCATAGGCTTTTAAAGTATAACTATTAACACATTATATTTTATATAGATATAAAAAATAAACACGAAGAAACACAGAATTACTGAAATGTCGATATCACCAAATCTGCTAATACGTTATACTTTACCCATAGGCTACCGAGTAGTGACCCACTTAATTGCTGAAAGTTTTCAACCCTTAAAAAATTAACCTATTCGTATTGACCCGAACAAAAAATTAACCGATCTAATATTGACTTAACCCTAAATCCTAAACCCTATATGAACAAAACTAAATCGAATGTAATCTAGACACAAACTAAATTGATCTGAAATGATCCAACTTAAATCTAATTCGAATGATCCGTTTGTTACCCCTACTTCTACTTATAATTATTTTCTTTATTTATTAAGAGTATATGTTATAAAATGATTTTAGGTTTAAGTAGAAGTAGGGGTGACAAACGGATGATTCGTATTAGATTTAAGTTGGAACATTTCAGATCAATTTAGTTTGTGTCTAGATTACATTCGATTTAATTTTATTCATATAATGTTTAAGATTTAGGGTTTAGGGTTTAGGATTTAACCATAGGCTTTTAAAGTATAACTATTAGCACGTTATATTTTATATAGATATAAAAAATAAACATGAAGAAACACAGAATTACTGAAATGTCGATATCACCAAATCTGCTAATACGTTATAATTTACCCATAGGCTACCGAGTAGTGACCCACTTAATTGTTGAAAGTTTTCAACCCTTAAAAAATTAACCGATTCATATTGACCCGAACAAAAAATTAATCGATTTAATATTGACTTAACCTTAAATCCTAAACCCTATATAAACAAAATTAAATCGAATGTAATCTAGACACAAACTAAATTGATCTGAAATGATTCGAATGATCCGTTTGTCACCCTTACTTCTACGTATAATTATTTTCTTTATTTATTAAGAGTATATGTTATAAAATGATTTTAGGTTTAAGTAGAAGTAGGAGTGACAAACAGATCATTCGTATTAGATTTAAGTTGGATCATTTCAGATCAATTTAGTTTGTGTCTAGATTACATTCGATTTAATTTTATTCATTCAGGGTTTAGGGCTTAGGGTTTAGCCATATTAGGGCTTAGGGTTTAGCCATAGGATTTAAGGATCAGGTCAAATTGGGTTAAATCGAGTATGAGTCTAATTAAGTATATATAAAATTATTAATATATTATTGTTAAAAATATGTCTATTTGTTTGTCAATCTTATCATTCGTGCTCATTTTAACTTTTAATCATTTAATATTTTGAATTAAACTATAATTTAGAGATTTTAATTTAATTCAAACTCGATCTTATAATACGTGTTTGAATATGTAATTTAAATTTTATATTGATAAGTTTTATAAAAGTTTATAGCTGGTCCAACTATAATTTGGATCGATTTTTATTCGAGTTGAGTATAGTTCGGGTTTTGGATCAAATATAATCATCATTTTTTAGACTATTTCGAATATCAAACTGGATAAAACCGATTTGGACAATCGAATTAGGATCAAGTTTATCATATCCATGTGGAAGCCTGTAATTTGGACACGTGACTTCATTGCTTGTATTATAAAGTTTTATCATATAGATGATTTTCATAATGTACTTTACTTGATTCACTGTACAAATATAAATTTGGACACGTGGATTCTGTTTTGTGAAAAGATTCAATTAAGGAAAAGCACTCAATAAAGAAACTCTGAAAATTAAAAGAATAAGAAGATGAGTGAGTCCCTACCCAACGCATGCATGCGTGCAGCGTTGCTTTCCACGTATGAACTCCATATATTTGCATAGAAGACGTCGAGCATTGTTTGATTGGAAATTTTTTCAATGAAGACGCCGAGAGATCTTTTAATGCATGAAAATTTTTGTGTTGAAGACGTCGAGACATCTTTTGAATGAACATAGAAGACGTCGAGCAATCCATTTCATGCATGGACATTCTGTGTTGAATACGTCGAGAGATACCGAGAGATCCTTTGAATCAATGTAACCTGAAGACACCGAGAAACCATAAACCCTTTCCCTGATGACGTCGAGAGATCCCAACCTTTGCATGTTATCTGTAGCAAACACCCCATTTGGGGAAATAATAGCATGAGTTCATTATTTTGGGAATTAAACATTCCCACATACATTATCTCAGTAATTTTACCCGAATAAAACACATATTAGCACTTAAATAATTTGTATCGGTAAAGAAAATAACAGACATGTAAACTTATAAACAAGACAGTTTAATCCTTTCCTCTAAATATTTTTCTAATTTTTTTTAATAGTATGAGAATATTTTCTGAATCAATTGATAACTTACATACATCATACAAACATAATTATTTTAATCGATCATTTCTAAGGACCCAACTCAAAATAAAAAATCAATATACTTATTACTAAAAATTTTGAATTATTCAACTTACTAGAACTCAATCTTTTTATAAAAATTTTCAAGTTAAATTTATAAAATTATAAGTTGAACAAAATTTTCTAGCGTTGAATCAAATAAAAAATTTATTTTCTTTATGAGTCAAGTTGTATTCACCCAACTAGTAATTGCTTTCAATTTCATTGAAAAGTTAAATATTAAAGAAAGGAAATTTACCTCTTTTATTTGAAATAAAATTATCCTTAAACTTTAGCAGAGAAAAAAAATATGGTCTCCGCATAAATGAAAGGGATATAGAGGAATTAATTTGTTATTATTACTATTATTGCAGGTAGTTTTACATTGGCACCATAATCTTTACATCCTCTTTTTGCTGTCTCCTACTTGACATAGAGCTCTAAACTGTAAATATGGAACTTCAAATAATGAACATTTGGTCGGTTTATTTCACTGAAACGTTTTTCGAAAAATATTTTTCATAAAATAAATTATATTTTCTTAAAAATATTTTATAGAAAACGTTTTACGATGTTTGAAAGATGTTTAAATTTTTTTTCACTAGTTGATGAATTTTTTTAAAAATTATTTATTATAAATATTAAATATAATAAATAATATTATTTATCATAAAACTTAATATTATTATTTTTAAACTATTAAATAATTTATTTATTATTAAAAAATTATTTTTATAATTTTATTAATATTTTTTTTTATAATTTTATTAATAAAAATATTAATATTGGTATATTTATTGAAATAAAAATATTATAAATTATATTAAGTATTTATTAAAGTAATAATGTTATATTTTAAAAATACTAATTACTATATTTTAAATATCTTTATTAAAATATTATTAGCTTATTATATTAATATTAAATATATAAATAATATTATTCATTATTAATAATTTAATATTATTATTTCTATAAAATTAATAAATAATATAAATTTTATTAATATTAAATTTATAAAATAAAATTATTTTGAGTATTTATTCTTTAAAGTGAAAAATTCAAAAAATGACTTACAGAAAATCAAACCATAAGTTATTTTTCAAAACACAAAGTAAATTCTTGACCAGAAAAATGTTTTATATCAACCAGTTTTCTTCCAATCAAACACTGAAAAATGAGAATATTTTTCGAAAAACGTTTTACGTGAAACAAATAGACCCACTACAAAAACGGTATTAGCAGGCATGAAAGGCGACAAAATAATCAGCAGGTCACGCGGACAAAAGATGAAAATATCACAGGCATTCTTCAACGGTGTCTACTCCTAATGGACGGCATGATGCTAGCTTGATTGCTTGGAAATTCAGACCCCGAAATGGACAAGGTGATGTCATAGCTTGACTGTCTGAAACTTCAGATCCCGAAATGGACGAGGTGATTTTATAGTTTTGGCTATTCCCAAAGTAGAGGACATGATGTTAGCTTGACTGTTCGAAAGTAGTTGGAGAAAGGCTCGATTTCAGGGGAAGATTCACCGGCTGCTTCATGGACTTGCGCCTGTCGTCACCCTGCTGCAGAGTAACTTCTCTGGACGGAAATGAGATCCATCCAACTCCAATTCAGGCTTCCTTTTTACCTTTTTCTTTGGTAGCGAGCTATGTGCCACTTTTATTTCATCCATGGCATTGTTTGAAATGCCCCTTAATTTCTCCTGTTTTAGTCTATCAAAACTGGAACCACTTGTTGAGGGACCAGGATTCTGGACAGCTGCTGCTGTTGTGCTTGAAGTTGACTTGTTAGTTGAAGGTAAAGCATGAGTAGCAGAATCAGAAGAAGACCTCTCTCGCATGTGCTGTGGCTGAGCACCTGATGCAGACTCCACTCGAACACTCTCCTCCAATCCCGGTGCCAACACATTTTTCCTCTTCACTTTCTCTTGTTCCTTAAAAGAGGTAAAAATGAACATAATAAGCAAATAGCAACCAACCTGAGAGAAATCAAAGAAAAGAAAACACATATTTGTCTACAACAAATAGCAAGTCCTTCATATTGTCTCACTAGCAACAACCAATAAATTTGGATACACTGTAAAGGAACACACAGCATCCACCCAATACTGGTTCACCTGAGATCCTAACAATAATAAAAGAAACATGGGCTAGTTTGCTTTACATGTTTGAAAAATAACGGTTTATGGTAACCAAGCCTAAGGAAACTTCAAATCTCACTATATAAACTTTGTCAAGATGGATTACACCTCAAAGGAAAAGATCAGGAAAGCAGTTTCACATACCTTGTGTCTAGTATACTTTGCTCTCCGTCTTTCCTTTTCCCTACAAATTGCACGTTTGATCTCATGGTTGTCCATCATACCATGTGGCCACAGCTGAGCAAGCTGCTCGTGGATAAATTCCATATGTAAGATAATAATGTAACATAGAAAATTGAAATAATAGTCCAGCATTATGACCAATGATCAATAGTTTTATCACCAATAAGTTTGTACAGAAGGAACATAATCAAAACAAAGAACAAGAGATCTGATAAAGGTAACAGCGTTAAATGAGTTAAAGAAGCATGAAAATACGGATTCAAATTATTTGAAAATCAATAACAATGAAAATGTAGGACAAACTCTATGGAGTTCTGCTAATAAAAAGGATGTGTTTAAAGCATTTTTTCAGTTATAAAAAGAGAAGATGCAGTTAAAGGGGAAGAGAATGGACAGAGAGTGCACAGAAGAGGAAAAGACAAAACAATCTTATGCACCCTTCTCATCCAAAAGGCAAGAGAGTTATATGATCAAAAGCTATGAGAAAACAATAACTGCAGCAACATATTTGGCCACCTTATAAAGAATCTCATTATCACTACAGTAACCGCAGGAGAATAGAGACAAATGATAGGTGCACAACCTCTACATATAGCTTTCGGATTTGTGGACCAGCATCTTCATCCAATCCCTGCTACAAATAAACAATAAAATATAACATTCATTAAGTATTCTCCAACACATGATTTTTTTTTTCAAAGGTCGCACTAGGACATATGATTACATCAACAAAGAGGTCATAAAGCTCACAAATCTTGCTCTCCAACGATGCATCCATGCTAAATTTCCTTTTATAACCTCTTTCTTGAAAATCATCAGAAGCTCCAGGCAATATCTGAAAGAATTGTTCATTTCATCAAGAGCAGCAAAATTCTAACTTTTGATAATATAGAGTAACTATGAACAAGATGAAAGACCACGATCAAATAGCAAGAGGGGAACAAAAAGGGGGGAAAAAGGAGAAATAATCATGGAATTTGCAATGGCGAAGTATTTAAACTAAACAAACCACATGAAAATAAGGAAGGATACGAAATTAAGTAAAATAGCATAGGACAAGAAGATGTGTGTAACAGCTTAGGAAAGAAATCTTTTTCCCTTGATCATAAGAAATGAAGAATAAAAGCTATATTCATTAGAGAGGATAATGAAAAAAGTAGAGACTGTTAAATCAGGAGAAACTATGAGAGGCAAAATAAAATGAAAAGAAAATATAACATTGGTGGAGGGAGATGGAAGAGTAAAAAAAACCTTCATCTCAGAAGGAATTCTTGTCTTTATGATCTCAATGACTTCCTTCTTTATCTGTTGAAATCTAGTGTCTTTTTCTTGCTTTGCCGAGACACCCATACTAATCATGACTTTGAGGTTCCTCTGCAATCAAAATATTGTTTCAATGAATATACATACATAATCTACAGAGATGATACATATTGGTAGAATGACTGTTGGAAGAGATCATTAAACGCAAACAAGAGTTTCCTATTCAGGAGGATGTGCTGATTGGTGATCCATCTCTTGCAGATGGCATTAAAGCTCTCAACCTTAACAATTTTCAGGTTTCTCACTGGATTCCACCCCCTATGGATTTTTTGAAGATGAATGTCGACGGAGCTGTTAGACTTGATGGCTCAAATGGAGGTATAGGAGGTATTTTGAGAGACTGGAATAGCAACTCCCTTCTAACTTTTTCAGAAAATGTAGGCCAGGGTCCCCCGCCGGTTGCTGAGTTAAAGGCTATTAAGAGAGGCATTGAAATCTATATGTCTTCTTGTTGGGTTAATGTTGGAAGGTTGATTGTGGAAAGTGACTGTAAGTCGGCTGTGGAATGGGTCCATACCCCAGCTTTGGCCCCTGTTTTTATCCTCCCATTAGTTAAAGAGATTTCATCTTTTATCTCGGACAGGGTGCACTCAATTAGACTGATTCCAAGGGTGTGTAATGGGGAGGCTGATAGTTTAGCAAAGATGGGAATTGGTTGATGTTTAGTCGTTTCCAGTGCGTTGTATCGTTTGAGTTTAGGTTTTTGGTTGTCTGTTGAGTAGCTTAGTCTGTTGTGTTTTTTCAGTATGGTGTTTATGTTAAATCTTATGTAATTTCGGAGGAGTAATAAAGTTTCTAAGGCACTCTTTTCCTCCTTCTTTAATCAAGAAGGAGGTTTTTAAGGAGGCCTATCATTCTTATCAAAAAAAAAAAGGAAAAAATAGTAATGCACAAAGTTTACATAGTTTTGTCAAGTTTCATTAATTCTTTTTCCATATCTGTAGTTGAATAAAGGTGATAATTGATAAACTAGAGGAATTTCTTCTAAATGTCAGAAACTTGATCACATATTTGACAGTCAGCAAACAGTCCTCAAGATCTTACAAGTTTGATTGCATGATTGAAAACCCAAAAGGTATGAACTAATTTACATTAAAGTAATCATAGTTGCAATTAAACAGTCGCAAGTAATCAAACTTCATTGAAACAAAACTACATAACACGAATTGAAGGCAAAAGGTACATAAGTAGAAAAAGGAGGTTAGGCAGAAACTATTTTTAGGCTTGGGTGTTATTAGCAATGTCAGCAAGCAATCATAACATTATATTCCAAGCCTTTTTCAAGCAAGATTTAGTAAGGGTAAAAAGTTGGAATAGCAATTGAAAGGTTAGTGGGTATCATATTCATATACAAGGAAAAGTACCTTAAGTGTTCTTAGTTGTATTAAATGACCAAGGATGCTCATGAGTCGACTTAGTAACTCCTTAGAAACTTTCCCCTGGCTTGCCTGCTGCAAATTTGATATAACAGAAAACTTTAACTTTTTATTTTCTGAAGCAATCATGCTATTAAAAAACAGTTGAAATATGAGTCATTTTACAGAATATAAACTGTTGAAAACAGTCCCATACTGCTAGTCTAGCAACTTTAGCAAGCTTGAGTTTTATTTCTCTAGGTAATCTCCTCTTAATCCCCTGAGATAAAGCATCAGCCTCTTGATTTTCTACAGCAGGAGGCCTTGCTATAATATTTAGACAGGAAGAAAAAGAATATTAGTTTTAAAGGAATTATCTACAATTAAAAAGTGTCGCATAATCACATTGCACAAGTCATATAAAATTACACTCTGCAACCAACTTCTCTAGCTCCCGAATGGCCTTTTCAAGCATGGAACTTTTGGCTCTAAGAGAAGAACCATCTTTCTTCGGCATGTGAGAAGATTTCTGCATGATACATTACACAAAATCAAAACCAATATAATAGCATAAATATCTAATGTAAAAACAGTTTCTCACATCTCTGGTGAACAATAATTTGGAAAATTGCAGAGTCCTCTACTCTAATATCTTAGACGACATGCGGAAGCACACACACTCGCACTCACAAAGAGGGGTCGATGAGATCCTTGAATTTTGCAGAGTGTTTTCAAAAATCCACATTCTGATCAAATGAAATTCGAGGGACTATAAAGAATTATGCAGAACTGTTTTAATGGTCTCTATCTTTAATGCCAAGCACTTTCAGTTAAAAGATGTCCTGTAAATCTATATCTAAACTGTTTTTACTGTAACAAACACACAAAGCTATCAAACTACTAGTGTTTCCAGACGCTGTAGGTTGTCACTAACAGAAGCAGTGTTAGTGTCAAAACTCAAACTATGTCCTGTAGCTACTAATTATTACTAACAATAAAGCCAAAGGAAAAATGAGAAATGGAGCAGAATGTCAAAAAGGAAACAAGGTTGAGACTAAATAGTAACTTACAGCTATCTTCATAGCATGTTTAGCATCAGAAACATTAGCATCTGGCAGTTCACAGACACCGTTCTTTTCTCTTGGTCGAAATGATTGTTTAAGCTCATCAGCATTGCCAATTCGTTTTCCATGTTGGGATTTGGATTGTGTAGTATTTTTATCATGGTATTTCTGATGCAAATCATCAGAGGAACCAGTTGCATTTTTCAATTTGTTACTGACAACATTTTTTGACTGCAGAAATCCCATCTTTGACTTTTCAATATCCTTCACATCTGCCAAGGGTACAGAAGTATCACCATTTGGAACTTTCAAATATGCAGAAGAATCCAATGCTACACTCGCCTCGGAAGATTTCTTCTTGGAAGGAATACCAGAAACTGAAATTTGATTCTGAGATTTTACATCCCCATACTGTTCACTTAATGCAGTCAAATTCTGAGAAGAATTAGAATTATTCTTCCCAAGAGAAGGTTCAGACCTCCCTGCAGTCACCCTTGCTGCCTTTGCATGTTTATTTGACACATGACCATCGTCATTCTCACAAGGAGGTTTTGAAGCATCATTCCTTCGCCTTTTCTTTGGCTGTTGATTAGGTATAGGAGGAGGCTCATGTCTTGAAAGTGAACGAAAAAGAAAGAAAGAAAGAAATGAAATCAGAGAAACAAACTTGATCAAATAAGCAAGTAGTGCTGCAGCATGAAAAATAAACAAATGGTAAATCAAGAATACTAGTTTTACCCTCATTGCAACACTTCCTACAAGACAAGGGGTCCTTGACAACCATTACACTACAAAGGATAAGTGTAGCAATGTTCATGATTCTATCAGGAGTTAAAGTTGATATGACTGTGGATCCCATTTTATTTTGATCTTTAAGCAAAAGCTGTCCTCATTTAAGATAAAATCACTCATAAATTAACCTAGCTTTAACTGATAAGAAGTGTATGGCTGCTTCAGGTAGGTTAGGATACATATGAACTACCATCTTAAAAGAATTATCACTAAAGGTTTGTTATCAACCAATGAGAAGAAGAATGAATGAAACAAAAGTCCAAAGAAACTCACACTCTTTCCAACTTTCCCCTATTAACAAAGAACCCATCATGTTTTATGGCTGAATTATCGACTTCAAAATACTCATCCTGCATAACAAGCAATGAAGCAACATAATAAGCAATAAAAATACATTACACATTCCTTGTTACAACAAGAATAGAAGCTACTGCTGCTGAGTGAAAACCAACACAGACAGCCTAAAAATAGAACATATGTAATTACTAACCAGCTCGGCATCATCAATAAAAGAATCTTCTGTATCATACTGATCATCATCCGGAGTTTCATCCAGTTCTTCCTCATCACTGCTATCTCTACCCTGCAAAAGAATTCCACTTCTCATTCATTAATGATGCAAAGTGCATCTTGAAATGCCCGAAAACATAACAAAACATACAAATACCATGTAAAGACGTTCAATCTTCTCAATAACAGCACTGAAACGATTTGGAACTGGTGCTTCATCTTTGGCGTCTTTTTCAGCTGCTTGTCCCTAAACATTGTTAAGCATGATTATGGAGGGAAAGCAACAAAAAAACAATTAACAGTTTTCTTTCACTTTCCCAAAATTCTTGGCAGCCAAACAATATTAACACATTCAAATATAACGAAAAGTTCCAAGCACGCTTTCTAAAATTCATAATGAATCCAAAAGTTGAAAAGAAAATACAGTTACGTATAAACAGGGATTGAAGAAGCGGCTCTTACTGGAACGATGCGAGACTGGAGATTAGGGTGAGCATTAGGAGGAGGCTCAGGAGCAGGCGCAGTCAAAACAGATGCAGCGGCATTGGCAGCCGCGGAAGATCCATTAGCCCGGTTGGCGTCTTTAACAAGCTTTCTCCAAGAAACAAACGTGGTCTCTCCAGGCCGGAGCTCAACCTCGAAAGCTTTCCGGTCAGCAGACATCAAAACCTTCGGCGCAGCCACTCTCGAGAGGTCACCACCACAATCGGCTCCTCCGCCGTCGCCACTCTTATCTCCCATGAAAGAATCCCGGTCGGGTCACCCAATTGTTATTCCTAGGGTTAACTAAAAGAAAGGAATATTCAATAATCAGTCAAAACAAACTCTAATTTGAAACCTAGATTGGGGAATTTGATCGGGAAAGAGAGTGACAAAGAAGTTGCGCGGGATAACAAAAAAGGAAAAGTTTTATGGAGGGTATTTTATTGTTTAATTTCCCTTCCTCCCATAATTTTCTAATGGAGGAAACCGTGATAGTTATAACTTGAAAAGGGTCGGGTTACATTTGAGACATTATCATGCGAGTCTGGATCACAATGGTTTGCATGACTTATTGGATCGGATTTAAGTAAGAATGATTATGAGTACGATTAGATTTGATTTTTAATCTATTTAAATTTGACTTGAAAATAAAAGTTATCAATCAACATCTCATCTGACTCGAAATTCAATTTGATTTATAGATTAAAATTCGTACTTTACCTAACTTATATATATATTTCATTTTCATTAGATAAAATAAAGATCTAATTTAAAAAATAAGATAGAAATAAATATTATTAGAATTATCTCTGAATATTTAAAAGATAATTTATAAAATTATAAAATTTTATGGTAAGGAAGTGAATTTATAAAATTTTAAAAGATAATAAATTTATAAAGTTTTAAGAGATGATAAATTTATAAAATGTTCGCCGACATGAAAACAGATTTTCAATCAAATACATATATAAGTTTTAAGAAGAGAAAATAATCTCAGTGACCAAAAATCTCATATAATATATGATTTTAACCAACTTTTTCCGGATTTGCCAAAATGACCAACAAAATCGCAATGCGATCGCTAATTCGCAACGCGATCTCCATTATCACAAATCAGTTTCCAGATTCGTAACGCGATTATTACTATCGCAATGCGATTTTCCAATTTCGCGTTGCGATTTTCCCAATTCGCAATGCGAATAAGTAAATCGTAATACGAATTTGGAAAATCGCAATGCGATACTGACTATCGCAACGCGATAATACAAAATCGCAATGCGATACTGACTTTCGCAACGCGATACTTACTTTCGCAACGATATACTGACTTTCGCAACGAGATAATACATAATCGCAATGTGATTTTCAAAGTGACATTAGTATCGCAAAACGTATTTTATTTTCAAATTCCAAACACGAATATTAATATATTGGAACACTGAACCGTCCACAGTATATCCCGTAATCGCAACTCATAACCTAAAACCTAAAATCACAACTCAGTCTCATCTACATCTCTCACTCTCTCACCCATCTCCGACGAAATCCGTCCCCATCTCCGGCGAAATCCGTCTATCTCCATCTCTCAGAGCCACCCTCACAATCAGAAATGGAAAATCAACCAAATCAACCACCGAGGGTTAGTTTTTTTAATTATTTTCATTTTGAAATTTTTGCATTATTATTAGGTTTTTCATATTGAAATTGATGATAAGTTTACTGGTAATTTCAATAATAGATTAACCATTTCACTTAGATTGCTTATTAAATCAATCGATAATCGCAACGCGAAATGAAAATCGCAACGACAAAATCGCAACGCGATTTTATTCTCTCGTTGCGATAGTCAAATTCGCGTTGCGGTTGTCATTTTCGTGTTGCGATTTTCATTTTCAGAAACTGTTCTTCTTATGCAAATTGAAACTTGAATGAATTGCATTACTTCAACCAAAAAACAAAGACAAATAAGAAATTCACAGTGTTGCAAATTTAAGTTTGAAGAATAAACTACTACTCTTTATGTTTATTATTGTTTTTTGTATATCTTCACAGTGTAGTTTTTGGTATATCTAACTTAGTATGTTTATTGTTTTTGTAGAACTTTTATTCGGCTCAATTGACCTTAAGAAATAAAGTCAGCCTGGCCAAAACAATTGCGTCGAAGCTTTCACCTGCACAAAGAAAAATGTTTGAGGATACTTGCTTCGGGCCATGGCTGAAAGTACAACATCCCGGTGGAGATGCGATGTTGACATACATGTTTCTTCAAACCATGACTAGGGATCTATCATATACTATACAACGTCGTGATGAAGAGATATGGTTTGATTTTCCACCGGCGTATACGTGTTTTGGGCGGGAGGAGTTTTGCTTAATCACCGGTCTACGCTTCGGACACGATGATGTAGGTCGGTACACTAGACACATTACCCACCCATCATAGTTATCCCGGGTTTTTCCTGAGCTAGAGAGGTCGAATCTACACGTGGAAGACCTGCCGAGATTATTGAATAAGAAAGATGGTTTTACTCGGATGGATGACGTCGATGTTGTCCGAGTATGCCTCCTAATACTTTTGCATGCCGGCTTTTTAGGCAGAGATGCCAGACAACCTATTCTGAATGATCTAATCAAATTGGTAGAAGACCTAAATGAGTGTAACCTATTTCCGTGGGGCTCGTATTTATGGAAAGCTACATGGAATAAGTTATCGTCTACCTTGGATGATCGAAAAAGTTTGCATGGCGATGGTTCCAAATACACTTTGACAGGCTTTATTTGGGCCTTTAAGGTAAGAATTTTTATATAATGTTTCCAAAATTATAAGTAATTATTTAACAATTACTAATGTTTGTTATTATATTGTTTGTAGATTTGGATATTTGAGGCCTTTCCCGCCATGAAGACATATGCAATAAAAACTTCAAATGATATTCCCAGTGCTGTTTCCTGGAAGAGGAAACGGACCTTGCAATGGGAAGATTTACTACGGTATACGACAATAAATAATGTAAGTTAACATAAATACTACCATATGTTTATAAACAAGTTATTACTAGTACACGTTTAACTTTGTTTGAGCTTTTATATTGTTAGGAGGCCAACACTCCATTACAGAGGCTGACACCCACGGAAGCTGAGCTTGCCACTGATTGGTGGCAAGGTAGTAATCGTTTTTTTAATGGCACGGATGATGAGCAGCCTCCACTTCGGGAGCCATCACCTCACCCAGAGCTATCACCTCACCCAGAGCCATCACCTGATCGACCCGACTATACACCTCCACAACGACAGCCATCACCTATTCTGTCATATCATCGAGCCTCTTCTCCACCATCATCGTAAAATAGGCGACCGGCAAAGATGCCACGACGTTTATCTCCCTGTTCTCCACCTCCATCTCCACGGGATGAGTTAGGGGAGTTACGTGATGAGGTCAATGCCTTGCGTGAGGAGGTCGGTACTTTACGCAAAGACGATGGTGCATGGCGTGTTGAGGTGTCTACTTTACGCGGTAAGGTAGCTGCTCTACGTGAGATGGTAGCATCGTTGTAGAATGAGGTTCATACTCTACGCAACGAGGTAAGTTTAAGATTTTTCATATTTAACTTGATGATAAATTTACTCGTAATTTCACTTAGATTAACCATTTCACTTAGATTGCTTAATAAATTCATTCGGTTGCTGCCAATACTGCTAAACTATTTTTGTTAGTATTTGTTTTTTGTTTTGTTTTTGTCTTTTAGTTGAAGTAATGCAATCCATTCAAGTTTCAATTTGTAGAAGAAGAATAGTTTACTTTCGCAACACGAAAATGACTATCGCAACGCGGAAATGGCTATCGCAATGCGAAATGAAAATCGCAACGACAAAATCGCAACGCGAAATGAAAATCGCAATGCGATTTGTGTTTCACGTTGCGATTTTCATTTCGCATTGCGATAGCCATTTCCGCGTTGCGATAGTCATTTCCGCGTTGCGATAGTCATTTTCGCGTTGCGAAAGTAAGTTTTGTGTTGCGAAAGTAAACTATTCGTCTTCTTGAATGTTTATATATGTTGTCCTTTTAAATGTTTATATAAGTGCTTACTTCTGGAATGTTATCTGATGCATTTTGTGAACTATGATAAAATAATGACTTGGGTGAATACAATGCAAGTTTGAAACATATTTGTCTTTGTTTAATGTCATGTCTGTTTATTTACTGATTTATGTATTAATTTTTTTTAGCGGTCCGATAAGGTGGATGCTTTACGTCGGGTTTTTCTTGCACGATGGAGTTCACGCATCAAACGGCGTGCACGTGCTATTACGTCTCCGTTCACCCCAATGGTGCGAAGACTCCGCAAGAAGAAGCCCGACTCACCTGTCAGCCCTCAAGAGTCCCCTCCAATCGTTCAAGAGGCCCCTATCATCCCTCAATAGTCCCTCCCACCGTTCAAGAGGCCACTGTCATCGTTGAAGAGGTCCCTCCCACTATTCCAGAGCCCGATTCACATGGGGTAATATATCGAATTATTGAGAAACCCCCACCGTTGCCGGACATGATGGATGAGAGTTGGCTCTCGTATGAGTTACCGGCTAGTACCCTTCCGGTATCTGAAGTAGAGAGGAGACAACTACCGGAAACAATTCTGGATAATACCCTTTGGGCTAAGACTGCAGTTGATTTTTATCTACATGAGCGGAGCCAAGGGTGTTACACTGACATAAGCAAACTCAACGATGAGATGTATTTGTTGCTTAATCGGTCTTGGTGGGGTGTGTTATTAGGGGTTGAAGACAGTGGCTATTTCGACGGGGAGGTAAGTCTTATATTTGTCTTATAAATGATTTTGATTAATTTTTTTTAAAATTAATGTAATTCACTAATATATGTATTTTTTTGTAAAACAGCATATCGATGCGTGGGTGTCACGTCTTATAATAATAAGGAAGCTTAGGAAAAATAAAAAAAAAATCGCGATATACAATAATGCCGGCGGCTTTTCACGCAGTTCACTTGAAGAATCAATGAGATGAATCATTTTCGTTGGGCAATGGACAAGCTAAACTTTATCCTGCATGGTGGGAGGTCGATAAGGTTAGTGTTTATTTTTTAAATTTTTTAAAAGTGTTCATAAATAAGTGAGCAAATAAATGAATTATTACTTATGATTGCAGGTGTTTATCCCTGTTTTGGAACGTCTTCATTGGCTTCTCGTCCAACTTCAGCTCCCATCCCTGAAGATAATAGTATATGATAGCATGATAAATTACATATCACTGTCTGATTTGAGAGATATTATCAAGGGATGGAGCTCTCATTTGGCTAAATTCTTGGATGGGATTAATTATTGGACTCATTCTGGACACAAGAAGCCAAAGAAGTTCAATGTCACAGTTGTCAGAGACGAGACCGTGTCACAACAATCACCGGGAGCCAGAGGGGATTGTGGTCCTCTCATATGC